CTTTGAAACCTTCGCCCGCATGGGAGCAAGGTCGGCATTGTATTGGTACTGCTTGTAGAAAGCAGCGGCCAAATCTTCCCAATTACGGATTCTGGCTCCTTCCAGCTGGTAAAACCATTCAAGCTGAGTCCCTGAGAGACTCTTGAAATAAGTGGATCCAGAGGTTCTTGTCAGCGGTGTATGGCTGAATCTTTCTAACATACAAACGGAGGTGCAGTTTTGGGCAGGAAACCCCATCGTATTTAGCAAAGATTGGTGCTTTAAACTTGTGGGGAATTACCACCCCAGATGACAGACCCAAATCACCAAAGTCCAGACCAGGAACTTTCTGAACTTCCATCGCGCTCAACCGGTCTTCCAGTTGTTTGTATTTATCCTCAGCCGGAGGATACTGGTCTTCGTCAAAGTTAGTCTCTTTGTTTTTTGAAAGAGCAAGTATCTAAGAACCATCTACCTACTCGAAAAAGGAATCGTTATATGCTAATGTCCTTTAGACAATGCTATCCCACTATTAGTGAGTAGGTAGCACCATCGTTGGAGTTTAAGGGTCAATTCGAATGAGGGACATATGGTCACTAAAACAATGTTAGGACGCCTTAGCGGTAACCCTAATGTCTTAGATCATTTGTTTGAGGCAACAATATCCGAGGCAACAGTTTCGAGGCGACTATGATCTTTTAGATAAGAGGGCGACCTCTAAAACGACCTATACTTAATGACCGTGTATGAAGGCAACCAAGTGGGGTGTACCCTAAGAGTGCGCATGTGCGAGTGTGTCATTTTCAGTTTATTTTTTTATCTTTGTACATGTTAAAGGTGATCTAATTTTGATTTTAGGGTTAACATTCCGTCTTGTCATGCAAACCCTATTATCAAACATCTAACAGTTATATCTTGTGGAAATAAAATGCGGAATTTAAATTACAAGGCGTCGGGTATTTACATCGCCAAAGACAAGCCCTTTGAAAAATAAAAATAAAGCGATAAAAAATAATTAAATGTCCTATTAACTATTACAATCTGGAAGCAGGTACATTATTGGATAAAAAAAAGTAAATCGCGACGCAAAATTAAATCGGACGCATGATTAGGGTTTTGACCCTTTTGGTTAAAGAAAAAACCTTTTTTAGGTTTTTATTATTTTTATTTAAGGAAAAGAAATTAAACCTAAATTAAATTCCTAAATTAAGTTAATAAATTAATTAAATGAAAAATAAATTATTTTTGGAGTTTTTGATTATTTAGGAAAGAAATTAAAAATGGTTAAATTAGTGGTTAATATCTAATTAATTAATTATTTGCAAAATAGGTTAAAGTTTACTAGAATTAAAAACCTAATTAATTAATTAGTGTTTATTAAGAAAAAAATAAAAATATAAAGTTTGATTGAATAAAAAAATATTTTTGTGATTTTTATTTAATAAAAATAGAATTTTGATTGGTTAGAAAAATTAAATAAAAATAAGTAAATAAAATAACTAAATAAAATATAAAGGGAATGAGGAATTGGGTCTGTTTAGAGGTGTGAGTAGCAATTTCTTAAGCCCAATATTGCTGGCTTTTTTTTTACTTTCTCTGATCTGGTACATGTGCATTGACCAACGCTTCTATGGACCTTCAGACCCTGGCCACCAGATCTGGCCAATGGTCATCTGGCTATTGGATACATGAGGGAGTATGATGGACTGCATATAGGCGCCTGTATAGGAATACCTGAAAAGAAAAATTATTGAGAAAGTGGAGGACCTGAGATTCGAACCCAGGTCCTGAAGGATATACATTGCTTGCTTTGCCACTACACCACATTGTTTCAATTGTTATTATAATATAAACAAATAATATTATATGAAAACAAAATAATTTCCAGAAAAAACAAAAAGCGCGTGTGATATTTGAATTGGCTAGTGGATGGATGCCACGCATCATCCCTGACCTCCCAACCGTGGCCAAAAGTCTCACCACCTATACCAACGGACAGGGGCCATAGCTACAAGCTTGCCCGTCTCAAAAATCCTTCTCAGGCCATAAAAATGAATTCCAAGGGCATGGTTGTGTTCGTCTCACCCTCCCGGTCACAACCATGTCCATTATGGGGGTCAATTGTACCTGGAATAGAAACGCCCAAAAACAAGAACCGAACCCTAACAATGGTGGTTCTTCATACATATCATATAAACGAAATTAAACAATGCAAAAAGTTTAGACATGTTCTTGTGATCACGAATGTACCATTAGTTTTCTCAATGGATGCCAGAATGCTTAAAATCGAAATCAAGTACAGAGTTGTGTTACGTGAGACTTACAGGGTGTTTGGACGTCTGAAAATGCTTGCTTTGGATCCAGGTAGCCTGTGTGAATGGTTAGGAAGCGATTGAGACAACTCTCGTGTCCTGAAACGGCCTCTAACTTGGACTTTGATCTCTCACTTTTTTGTGAATTTTTCAATTCTTGTTCTGCCTCTCTCAACGGTTTTCAACCCTGATTTTGTATGCTTCTGCTTGCTTATGTAATGTGCTTTGCATTAGGGTAAGAATCATGGACCAAATCCCTCCATATCAACGCACATGAATGTGATTTGATCTCTATTGAAAACCTTCCAAATTTGATTTTAATTGGATCTTTTTGCACATGATTTGATTTGATATGAATTTGATGATGATAATTGCTGAATGTGGAGCTTGAAATAGCCAAGAGATCATGAGTTATCAATGCTTTGGATTTTCTATGATTTTATTTGATTTAAAATGAATAAAATCTATTAAAAATAAAATTAAATAATAAAAATGAAATATGGACACATGGATGAAGCTAGGTCACGTGGGCAATGATGCAAACTCAAATCAAGTGGAAAAGAATGGGCCCATTTGGCAAAATTTGAAGTTTTGGGGATAGTTGACTTTTGGCAATTTTGCAAAAAAGTCCAACTTCAACAATGCATAACTTCTTTAATATTGAGCTTTTGGAGATGTTCTTGGACTTTCTAGAAAGATTGAGATGTCCTCTAATCAACCCTTTTGGTCTCATCTCATTTTGATATTCCATGCTCAAGTTATAAGCTTTGGCAAATAAGGTGTATTTGTTGACTTTCAAAAATGACCTATAATGTCCAAATTCATAACTTCTTGTGAGTGCATTTATTGGTATTGGGGTATGAATATGGATTGTAGGAAATTGCATCCTCTTAAAAATGAGCTTTGGATGGGTCATTTCTCATAAAGTATGAGAAAGTTATGCTTGGTCAAAGTTGAGTTGACTTTTCCAATAAAACCCTAATTTAGCAACTTTTGAGTCTTGATGAATTTTGAGCAATCCTTGATGAATCATTATAAACCCTTGATAAAATGATGAAATATCCTTCAAAATGAGAATGTTGGCAAAAAATCTTGAAGTTTGACTGTTTATAGGTCACAATTGACTTTTGCCCTAACATAATCGATTTTTGGACCTTTGGGCAATTGACTGAGCAAACTTCCTCTGCAAGGCTTGAAATTTGACATGGATGATCTTGAGATCATATTAGGTAATTGGGGTGTATTTGGGGTCATTTGGACTCAAGGGTCTTGATGCAACACAAAACCCTAATTTGGGAAAGACTGCCTTAGGAGATAGCTTGTCTGACCAACTCTTGAGCTACCTTGAGCCACTTGGAGATTTTTCTTGCAATGTCTTGAGGAATATGAGAGGGCAAATTTTGGGTTACAACAGATTAGATATGCGTTAAATTTTATCCAAGAGGAATTCAAATTATGAGAAAACTAATCAATATATTTTCAAATATAATGTTTTAATAAAATCACACAATGATAATCGATTTCCAATGAAATATTAAGCAAAAACTTGACTTAAGCAATTTATAGAACACTTGGTGTGCAATCAATTCTAATCATATTTTTCTTTGATTTTGTTGATATTAAAATCCAACTACAATATTATATATTGCAATCAACTCAACAAAAATATTTTATTGACAAAGAAGTTATCTCAATGTATTGATTGCATAATTCATGAATTCACAATTTGCAATGAAAGTAAAAGAGAGAGGGAGATAGAGAGGGAGATATAAATAGAGAGAGAGATAGACACAAGGATTTGTTTAGGAAGTTCCCAAATCGGAGAGAGATAGATAGAAAGAGAGAGAGATACAGAGAGACACAAGGATTTGTTTAGACAATTATCCAATCGGTCTCACTAATGGAATTGAGATAATGAAAAGTAACATTTGCAAATGTTGTTTACAACAGAAAAAGTTGTAATTTAACCCTCCAAATGATGGTTGTTAAACACGCGGAGACTCGTAAACTCGTACGGGTCTACGAGTCCAGGAAGCATAAACGAGTAGACTCACGCATAAAATCATTTTTTGATAAACTCGAGTAGACTCTCACAAACTTGTATAGAATCGCGAGTCTATCACTAGTTTACGAGTCTATCAGTTTTTTTAGTTTTGTTTTTTTAACCAAAAAGGCCCAAATTCTCCAAAAAAAATTATTGTATTTAAAAAAAACCTTATTTTATTTTTCTTGTACATGACTTAGAAAGTCTCTCTCCAAGTCTCTTGCACAAAATTTCTACGGAGATATGATTCCTGAATTATAGAGGTTTGTAATTCGTGTTCAAAACTTAACTTGTAGCTCATTTGGTTGTGAACAAAATTGGAGTTCCTTTGAAATGGTAATGAATTATTATTTTTTGTTTATAGACTTGATTTTTATTTTTTTTAGAAATATTGTGTTTAATTATTATTTACTTTGCAAGTTCATTCAAAGAGAAGGAATATGTTGCATAAAAATATTAATAATTTGGTTTATGTCATGTGCAATTTGAAGTTGAAAAGTAGAAAAGGGAAAACAAAGAGTGTTGTTCATTCATTTGAAGATATTCATTCAGATGATGAATGGATAACTGAAGATCCCAATGAAGAAAATGTGCAACTAAAGTTAATGTTAAGCAAGATGATGTTATTGTTAACAATATTGTAGAAGTTAATGTTGTTGTTACTAATGTTGTGCATTGGTGGTGGTGGTGGTGGCAATGTTGAGTTAGGTGGAAGTGGAACTTCAAGAAATGCAACATTGGCTAATGATGAAGAAGGCGTTTCATCTGGAGCAGAGTTTGATGATGATGCTCAAGATACCGATGAAATAGATGGTGATGATGTTGGTAATGATCATTTCACTGGAGCTTTCGATGTTCGAATTTTAATGTTCATAGTTGCTCTATTATATATATATATATATATATATATATATATATATATATATATATATATATATATATATATATATATATATATATATATATATATATATATATATATATATATATATATATATATATATATATATATATATATATATATATATATATATATATATATATTTGTCTCATATATGAGGCATTTACAAGTTTAAAAATATAGGAGTGTGTCATATATGTGTCACTTATAGGTTTTTGAAATTCATTTTCAATTTTCCATAGACTCGTATGAGTTTACAAGTCGAGTCTATAGAGCCTTTACGAGTCTGAGTAGACTCGCGGGTTTGACAACCTTGCTCTAAACCCTATGTTTAATGTTGATCCTAACTTCTTCTCTTCCCTTGATCTTGATCTCGATCAAGTAACTCAATACTTCCAATTTGATCCTCCGTTACCACTACTCCTTTGACAGAAACCCCATTCTTCAAAGTCTTAACTCGGCTGAATCAAAACTACAAACTATTGTGATCCAAAATTACCAAATTGATCCTCCGGTTACCATTAATCCTTTTACAGAAACATCTTTCTTCAAAGCTTTCACTCGGTTGAATCCAATTTGCAAAATCTTGTGAAAAACTCCCAAATCAACCTTGATCTTGGAAGAAAACCTAAAATAGATTTATCTTGAAATCCCCAAAGAATTTTCAACTAAATTGATTACAACCAATCTAATTGGACCTTATCAAACTATCTTTAGATCACACAAAAATATTATTATGTGTAGTTGTTGTATGGGTGCAATGAGAGAGGATGAAGATGATGAATTTTTTTGTATATTAGTTTGAAATGGCGCAAGAATGTCTATATATAAGTGTGTGTGTGTGTGTGTGTGTGTGTGTGTGTGTGTGTGTGTGTGTGTGTAAAAGAAGTAACAGAAAAATCATATTTGCAAAATTACAATTTTGGACATTTTAAGTCAGTAAGAGTCAACCCATTCGAGTTAGGATTCGACTCATAGGAGTTGGGGAGTCGACCCATGCATCCTAGAAGTCGACTCCAAGAGGACATGAAATTTTGGACGAAAAATACTTTCAGTGAGAGTCGGCCCACGACTCGAGGGAGACGACCCATTCATGATGTGTGTCGAATTCAGATGCCAGTATATCAACACATACGCAATAGAGAGTTTTGTTTCCATTTTGCTTATGAGGGAGTCACTTCCTAACATAGATGTGTCGACTCCGACATAGTTTTTTAAATGAAAAATCATATTTTTGACTTATCCAAATGCTTTTGACTTGTTCTATAAGTGTCATAATATGAAAATGCATACCTAGACATAGAGAGAAAAGGTAAAATATGCAAATACTAAATACTACCTAGTTTTGACATCATTCAAAATATTTAAGATGATAGTGCACTCACAACAACTATGGAATCCTTTGTTATATCCTGTAAATACATGAACTTATGCATTACTCGCTCAGGTATATGTGGGTACATAATTCGAGAGCCACAAGTCAACCATCTAGAGTACCAGCATATAACCTTCATAGTTCGTGTTTGATAGTGCTCACCATGCATTGTGAAACATATATCATCTGTCAGGATGCTGTCAAGAGCAAGTTTGCACGGATGATTCATCAGATTACCCCTGAGTGGGATAGTTAAGCATATATGTGGAAAATCCTCATAGTAGTCGTCAACTCACTCCTAACAGGGGATAATTGGAAATGTTTTAGGACACATGCCTAAAAATGGTTCAGACGAAATATTAATAAGTGTGTAGCCCAAGTATTGTGAAATCAATACCAATATATATATATATATATATATATATATATATATATATATATATATATATATATATATATATATATATATATATATATATATATATATATATATATATATATATATATATATATATATATCACCTGAAATAGGTAGTTTTTTTTCTGTCATTTGTCTCGTGTTCCATAAACTACCTTCAACTAACTTGGAATAGAGGTAAACGAAAAAAGAAGCCTCCAAATAGTACTCGTGAATCCTCTCCAATTTCGTGAAGTATTTAATATAAACAACGTCGACATAGGTTGCACTTTTGTCCATAAAAATGCTTATGCCAACCAAGGTCAAGAATTACTACTCCGAACCTTATTTATAAGAGAAAAAAAAAAGACAACTTTCACACTTACTAAGAATGATAGTTAATTGCATTTAATTTTCTTGATTTAAAGTAAATGAGATAACATAATTACTAATATACCCGTAATGAAATTGTCATCCGTTAACAATGTTAAGTAATTAATGCAGGGATAGTTTTATAATAAAGACATCAAATGTGTTTAGATTTGTTGATATTTGCTTATATTTTAGGCCACAAATTTTAGAAGACTTTTGCTTATAAATAAGGTCTGAGGGAGTATGTCCTCAACGCACATACTTTATGATAGGAAACTTGTGTCTCATTACCCCACAGCATCCACAATAGCATTCAGATGGTTAATATAATCTTATGATAGGAATGGGAATCTAGCATAACATCCCCTAGTATCTTATATCTCCCTTTGGGCTTTACCCAGATCAACCCCTAATCGTGTCACCACCAGGTCTAGGGCCTCATATATACTAATTCTATAGTATCCAACAATCTTCATGTGATCACAATATGTAGGAAGCATGATACATCGTGAAGTACAATAGTCATGTCATCAATCATAAGATGAAATGACGATGTCTGTGTGCCATCTCTTAACAAATGCAGAAAATATACCATGGTCAACATAACCATATTTAATCCTACTAAAGTCCTTCAACCTAGATAGCTCCACGACTTCCTAAAACCATGGTTCATCAGGTTGTGACATCTTTGATATTTTTTCTACCATGGTTTATACATTTCAATGTGTCATGGTACTATAAAAATAAATACATCAATGTTAGACAGTTTAATTAGTATAAAATAAATAAGGCTTAAATACAGTTTTAGTATCCATATTTTCATTATTTTGAACTTTTCATCCCCTATTAAAAAATTAAGCTTTTTAGTCCCTAAACATACATTATCAGGTTTGCAGGTTTGCAAGAACATGTCAAGTTAGCAAGAGATTATGCTCTTGAAGGTTTATACGACACTTCTATCATCTTCTTTGATGGTGTTGTTGCACAAATCAACAGGTTAATGAGTTTTCCATTTTCATTGTAAAATTCATTTTTTTATTGCATTATGGTTAATGGATTTCAAATTTTTTTTTTGAATTTTGAGTATATCCATTAATTGCTTTTAGATGTTTATTCATTTTACCACTGCTGGATCAAAGAGGGAAAATAGTTCACAATTGGTGTTTCTTTCATGAATGAGATGTTAGAATTCATTTTGTGTTGAATGGTAACAATAGTTGATGTTTTAAGTGGATGGATCTTTAGCCATTTGATTATAATTAGTATCTTCTTGATATGAATTAAGCAGGTAAAAAATTAGCTGCATTTTCTTAGGAGATTTTAGTAATTTACTTAACTTAAGATTTATTGTAGTTGTAACAAACTTTGAAAATGTTATAGATTTGAGTTTGAGGATATCATAGGTAGTTAAGTTAAGAACCATGTGAAAAGTACTTAAGAAAATGCACTTAAGTTGTTCAATCCTTTTTAAGTGTTAGTGTTGTAGTTGGTTTGGTTAATTTAAGTTGATTTTAAGAAGTTTGAATCTTGTGTGATTTTCAGGTATCTAAACAGTGTTGAAACAATTTACAAACTAAAAATATTCAAAACTGCATTGTATTCGGTTATATATAAATGAATGTGGCGAATTAACACAATTGCATTGTCGTCTTAATGGCCAAAGCTTTAATATTCTTAGGGAGAACTTGCCATGATTGTAAAAATATTCTTTGCTCAATCATATATTGACACGTGACATTTAATAAATATTTGATAAATAATATTCATTCAATTTATTTTATTAATTATATTATTATATAAAATTTTAAATTAATTACTTTTTTAATGTGATGTGGAAAAATGTGTGATGTGGCAGCGTGTTGACTCATTCATGTCAGTCATTCTATGTGCCACGTACACAAATATGGGAAGAGACTAAAAAATTGCCAAAAAAAATATATGTTTGGGGACTAAAAAGTTGAATTTTTTAATAGGTGATAAAGAGTTCAAAATAATACAAATAGGGAAATTAAAAAGCATTTAAGCCAATAAATAAAAGAATAATTAAACATTTATGCTACCTCTCCTCCCACACGCCTGTAGGATGGTGTGTATATAAAGAAATTAATGAAGTGTCTTTAGAGCCTCTAGAAAACTTTCAAGTTCGACTGCAGGATGTGGATCAACATGAATGGGAGAAGCACATGCTTCACCATGAGCCAGAGATACATGACTCGGGAAAGACGATAGCTCAACAATAAATAATGATTCTCTAACGGCGGGTCGTGAGAGTATAGCTTTTCCCTACGAAGTGAAACATGTTGGGTCACTCGACCACGTCTGTATCTATGTTATTCGTCAGGTATTTTTCTATAATCAAGCTAGAAAAGACATATCAAAATTAAAGAAGTGAAAACAATGTGAAAATAAATTTGTTTAGCTTGAACATAGAGGAGTAGAAGTTAATGAAGATCTTAGATTTAAACGCACACGAGTAGAACTTAAGAGAAAGATTGAAACAATGTGAAAGATGAGAGTTCTACTATACTAGTTTTTTTTGTTTCAAATGAAAGAGAAGAAGATGAAAGATAAGAAGCTAGTATTTAAGCGAATGCATCTGAATTTTGAAATCCGTTAGTTTAATTCATATTTTAAAATCTATATATTTTTTAACTTTGATTTGATTGTAGTTTTGAGATTGGATTTATTATGGTATGATGGGGTGTGTCCTATTTCCAAAACTGTGTTTTTTTTTTTACTTGTATTTAATGTGTGTTTTAATACATCAGAATTCCAAAATTCGAATTTCAAAAATATTTTAAAAATTTCAAATAATAGGTGAGTAAAGCATTGTTTGTAGTGAAAAACCCTCTTATGCAATATCCTAATATATAATCTAATAAAAGACCTAAACATTAAAAATCTAATTAAATAATAAGAAGAAGAAAAAAAGTCAAACTAACGATACTAATTTTAAATCAAATTTAACCATTTAAAATTCTATATTTAATTAGTATTTTTTTCTCCATTAAGATCATTCACGGACGGCACATCTTATTAAGTAACTATTAAAATTTTCTATTTATCTTGTAGATAGCAATCAGAATATTGTGACCGAAGATACTTTATAAGCATTATTTACGTTATTTTCTAATTAGGTAGTGATTTGCCAAATCAATTTCCTATAATAATCAGTTCAACCATGACTAAAAGATAAAATACATGCATACAATTTTAGTGTGAAACAAATATTTTCATAACAAAACAGACATAAATAAATGGAAGAAGAAGTCATATGATACAAATTTAAGCCTTATGATTTATGTATGAGTTTTTTTTTTTCTTTTTCAAACAAGATAAAATAGAATTATGGAAATAAATTTAAAATATCTCATAAACATGTTAAATGCTATTTTCATTAGATTTCTCAGAGTTTGGTATTTATGCGAGTAGATAAACTCAAATAAATTTATCCAAACCGCCATTATTTCAACCGTTAACAATATTTGTCACCATAAACTTGATATACGTAATTTGAAGCTCATTGAAGATAACATAGTAGCATCTTCAAACTTATACTTTCTCACTTGCATTTGGAGATGCCAAAGGAAACAAAATGAGTAACTCTGGTTCATTATAACCACTTGCTCTAGACCTCGGCGAGGGATGCAAATAAAATCTTCTCTCTTTGATGGCTTTCTCTTCTTCTTCAATGTTCATTTCATCTTGTTTCATTTCACTTTCCAAAATAGTTAACCGAGAGAACATCGTCGAAGGAGTGGTAGGACTTGGAAGAAGACTAGAACTTCCACTTCCAGATACAGGACTCGAAGGGAAGCTAGAACCTCTGGACTTGGAAGAAGGTGATGCACCAGATTGCTTATAATTTTGAATGCTTGGTTTAACAATCTCGAGTTTTGGTTTCATGTATTTCCTTCTTTCGTGAAGTTTTGGAGGTGTTCTTTTCGTAGTAGTTGCGACTTTTGTAGCTAATTGATCTAGATCTTTTGCTGCATTGGCTTCTGCAGGACCTGTTAATCTTTGCACTACTTCCCTAAATGCGTCTGTGTTTGTGTGAACAAATGTTGTTAGTGGTTTACAATCACCTGTTGTAGTACCGGGCATTGGTGGCTTTTCCGTTCTCATCGCAATCGGATTTATATTATCTTGCTACACCTCACCTACAATATTCATGATTATATCAAAATTTTAAAACTAGATAAGCAAGCACATAGTGATGATCCATATGGCATACTTATACACGTAACCTAAAAAAATGCATCCATGCGAATGTTTTGACTAGGTAATTGGTTCTATTGAAAAAAAAAAATCTGGAATTAGCTAGAAATCTGAGTCTATTAACAATTATTACCTTACAAGTTGATTATGTGAAAATGACTCAAACTCAAAACCTGATATGATATTAGAGTCTATCTTAGCAATGGAATATAAACAATTTTTTTTTTAAAATTCAAAATCTACATGTTTTATGCACTATTCAATCTTGATCCAACGACCACCGATTCCACGACTGCATGCAATCCAAATCCCAAATTTAGCAATGGAACATATACCATTGATTATCTTTTTCCACCTCTAATAATGTTATTTCTATGTTTGACTACTTCCATTTCTCTCATGATAACAAACAAAATTTAAATTTGGAAAATTAAATTGAGAGGAATGAAGTAAATAAACAACACAAATCATACAATTCACAACAATGAGACGAATTCGAATTATTTGTAATTAATAACAATTAATAAAGCTGACATGAATCCAAACCATATGATATGATACAATAAACAAACACAAACTTTAAAAAAAAAACATGATTAAGAAACATATAAACTAAAATGAAAGCAAAAAGTTGTTGCATACCGAAGACGATTTGATGGTGCTTTTTTCTTGTATCTGAATATAATCCAAAGAAAATAAGTTGAGAAAGAAAGGGAAAAGAAGGTGAAGAATAAAAAGACTCAAAGACAGAGAAACCTTATAACTGTTGGAATGGAAGTGAGTGTAGTTAAAGATTGTTTTCTGGTACAAGGTTGTGAGCCAGTTAGGACAAAGAATCTCTGACCTCAAAAAAAGCAGTCCAACCATTAGCTTTGCCACATCAACTACCTGTCGTAAATGGAAAATGGACCACACAGCACTTTCCTCCCAGTTACTGCCAAATAAAGATTTGCTTAACTCATTCAAAGAGAATAATTGATTCTATATTAAGACAATAACAAATTAAGGACAATTTTTCCTTTTTTAAGATAAAAATAACCACTGTCTATCTTGAAACAGTTATCACCAGCGGTAATTCATTTTCGAAAAGGAGATATGTATATACAATTTCAACTTTAAAGCTGTAACTTCAAAATTCAAACATTGAATTCTCAAACTATGATAATAACTAGGAAAAGTTGACCATTGTTAAGGTTGTGGTCATCATGAACAGAATCTAATTAAAAAAAAATCTTGTCTTTTTGTATGAACATTTGTTGTTTTATTTATGAGGAGTTTGACAAATAATGAAACTAAATGTGTGGTCATAAAAAACAGTCGCGTACAGAAGATAACTAGCCTAACCTGAAAAGCCATTAAACCAAATTATAGAGATAATAAACAAGCAAATAAAAGTCATACCAAACATAAATAGAGGTAGAAAAACTAATCAGAACAAAAAACAAATTGAATTGGAGTCATCTCAGTGGAAAAAAAATTAACAAGTTTTTAAATAGAAACGAAAAGAGAGAATCAACTATATATAGTATGAAATTATCTGAACATTATGTGGATTTTTTTTTGGATCAATTCATTAATCAACACAAGTTGATATGTAAGAATAGGTAATGGGAAGTGTTCCGTACGGGAATCAAAGATAAGTAAAGATTGAGTGGACTTGGGTTCTGGTGCGATGGAGTGAGTTTTCAGTACACCGGATCGTGATGGATCTGCACAGTTAGCATTCTAACGCTCAAGTCAGTGAATGAGTGAGAAAGTAATTAAATGTGTGCGTGAGAGAATACCTAAAATAAAACGTAGTGTACTTTATATAAGACAGGCATTTAAAACCATCGACATTATATAATTTTTTAGAGAATTTAAATGCACTTTTATTTTTAACATTTTATTCTCTCATTCTATTCAAAACCTTCAGTATATGAATTGGATAACAAGGCTCCACCAGATGATGCAGCAAACATGTCTCTTGAAGATGGTGTCAAACTAGTGTAAAATGTATACAATTCTATGCATATAACATAGTGGAATACCATGGTGGAGATATTTCCTCACTAGGTCTTTTTTGAATCTTTCTCAAGTATCAAATAATTCGTCTTCTCCTATTTAACATGTGATTTTATTTAACATCTTGGCATTATTGATAGGAGGAAAATATTTAGTTAAAAATTTCTCAGCTAGATCATTTCATGTGACAATGAAATTGAGATCTAATAAATTTAGTCAACTTTTAATATGATCCCTTATTATGTGTTATTATGTGTTTAGATGAAGGATTTTAATTAGAGAAAGTAATTTTTTTGAGAAAATTTAAAATGACGTGATGAAAATTTATTGTTAACATAAAAAGATTTGGAGAGTTGTTAAAATGATGGAAAATTATAAACTAAATTTAAAAATTTTTAAATAACACTTAAATGTAAGGAATTTGAAAATTTTCTCTCAGTTTATACATTGTGAATGTCACCTTGGTTGTTATTAATCTTTCAAATTTTGCTAGTTATTCCCCAATTTTATTTAAGTTTTCAAATTGATCCTCAAAATTTAAAAAAATACAAATTAGTCCTAAATAATTTCAAATTTTACAAATTGGCCCCTATAAGTGAAATCCAAAGTCACAACACCTATTGTTCTCATATACAAAATATCATTAATTAACTAAAAACACATAAAACTAACATTATTCATCGAAAATACAAATTATAGATTTAACTATTTAAAACTTAAATAACTCACGTAAATGGAGTTATCAATCATACACAAAATAGAGTAAATATAAGTTGTTAATTGTCATTTTAAAAGGGTCCTTCTAAAAAATTCTAATATATGATTCTAGAAGGCCCATTCTGATGGAATTAAAAACCAAGAAAATAATTTGTGCAAAAAATTCCTTTCGGAAAGATAAAAAACACGAACAAAAAATATTTGAATACAAACCAAACATTTCTAATTTGACAAAAACAAAATAAATAATAAAATTGTAAAAGTAAACAAGTCTGATGTATAATACTGAGATTGACAATAAAATCATTCTTTTGTACTTCAATTTGGTGAAAAATCAAAGACATATATATTTTATTTTTAGATCTTTTAGAGATTTTGAAAATGAAAAAAAATTAAATAAAAAAGGATAATAATCCTGATTGTGTATAATATTTTTTGAAATGTATATTTTAGACCTTCCCACTTATGATTTTTTAAAATTGTCCTCTCTCTAATACAATTGAACCCTAATTTTAAAACACAAAGTTATACATGTATGATGTGTTAAATACAATTTTCAGACCAGTTCGAGTCTTTAATTTTTTGATAGAATTTGGTTTAAAAAACTAACGACGTAAATATTTAGATATTTCAAAGATTAATTTATTATAGAAAATTTAGGATTTTGTTTGGAAGTTTAAAGGGAAGGGAGACAGAAGGCTTTGAAAATTATTTTTTTCAAAAAAAATATAGAGAAAGCTTTAATATTGTTTGGAATTTTTTATTTTATAGAATGATAAAATAAAAATTAAGATATTTTTAATCTTTGAAATATTATAACAACATAAATATACAATTTATCTAAACCCTCCAAACTCTTCCTTCCATAGAGGTTTTTTAGTTTCTCAAATTAGGAGATTTTGATTTTTGAATGAAAATAAATCTCCAAAATCCTCTTCATCTAAATCTTTCTATTTTTTTATCCAATTTATTACAATTTTAGATATTATAGAACTATCGGTAATACTCGAATTCTAAGTCAAAAGTAAAAATAGATTAATGTCACCTCATGGAATTGAATCACACACTATGCATGAGTAAGTTAATAGGAAGAAGAAGAATTTGTTTTAATGAGAAATGATTGTTTCATGCATGAGCTTCAACGGCTATAAATGACAAAATTGGTTATACGACAATCAATCAAAAGCCAAGGAAAATAACTAATCATGTGCTGGAAAATCTACTAGATATGACACCTCACATAAAATGACAAAAATAGGACAACAAAAACTAAGGAAAAGATAAATTAATTGAAATCCTTGATAAAAAATTAAAACACAATAATAGACTAATATATATCGGATATAAAATTCTCCTCACTTGTATAAACTATGAGGATCAATAAAAAACATAAGAAGATAAATCAAATTAATAAAGGTACAAAAGAACACCGATATTTTTAACGTGGAAAATCCCTCGATATGAGAGTAAAAACCACGAGACATCCAAACTTAAGAAATAGTTCTACTATAATCAATTAAGGATACAAGAGAGTCTTAATGTGATTCACAAAATAATAATAATAACAATTACAAATCACAAAGCAAACTAGCTTACAAATAAGAATAAAAAAAATCAAAAAATTACATAAATATGCAAATTCAGTGTGAAGCAGATATCTCTCAGCTCAGAATTTGTTTTGAAATTATGAACGATCAAAAGGTAGATACATGTGTTGCAAACAAGCCCTCCAAATTTTAGCTAAGCCTAATAACTAACAAATTGAGGATCGTCGATTTAGTGAGACTAATGCAGAAAAAATGGGAATAAATTTCTTTCTTTTTTCTCTCTTTTAAATCCTTATTTTCTCTCTATTCTACTTAACCCTAAATTGACAATCTTCACTTAAATAAATGATACAAGTGGCTATTCATATTTGAGTCTTTCAGGCCAAATAAGAAGAGAGCTCAAACCCAACAATCATATCACAATACCCTCTCCTTAGCAGCACCAATGTCCTCTTGGGTGAAAATCAGGAAATATCTTCAACAAATCATAGTAGAACTCTCCGGTTGCTTTGTCCATAGATAAGTCCTTCCATTGTACCAAGAATTTCGTGGATGCTATGCGTCCACACTTGATCATCTTCTTGTCAAGGATTGTAATAGGACTCTTTTCAACCTGAGCTGATGATGCAGGTAGATGTTGAACAGTTTGTCCTTAAGGGTTTGGGCATAGTTTAATTGTGAAACATGAAAAATGTTGTGTATGGCTGCATATGGAGGACGTTTCAATTGATAGGCAGTTGAACCAATGTGATCCTGAATGAGAAATGGACCGCAGAATTTTGGCAGCAGCTTATGGATGGCATGTTGTTTCATAGAAACTTTTGTGTAAGGTTGGAGTTTGAGGTACATAATCACTGTGATACGGTGGCAGAACCGACTGTTTAATACTGGTTTGCGTTTTCCGTTTTTTGTTCACAAAATGTCGCGGTAAGCAAGAGTCGCCACTGACTTTTATTTTATCCAACTGGAAAGGAAAAAAGTACAGAAAAATTCCTTTTTCGAGATTTTGAGTACGGGGGGTAGATTATAGAAAGGGAAGGTATTAGCACCCTTTATATCCGTAGTTTTTTACGGGCTCTTAGGTACTTGCTCATCATTTTAAAAATTGCTTTCGTGTTTGTGTGTTTTTGAAAAGTTTTTGTTTTACTTCGATTTAACCCTTGCTTCTGTCTTCAAGAGTGTTACGAAGTGTTTTTGAATACTTTGTTTTGTAAAAAGTGTAAGTGTGAAAAGTTTGATTTTGAGCAAGTACCTACTAGCATCTACCTACTCGAAAAAAGAATGTTTATGTTCTTGTTTCCTTTAGACAACGCTATCCCACTATTAGTGAGTAGGTAGCACCGTCGTTGGAGTTGTAAGGGTCAATTCGAAAGAGACGTACGATCACTAAAGCAATGTTAGGACGTCTTAGTAATAACCATAATGTCTTAAGATCATATTCGAGGTAACATTTCTGAGGCAACATTTTCGAGGCAACATTTCCGAACGGGACTTTTGATCTTTGTTTAGACAAGAGAGCGACCACTAAAACACCCTATACTTAATGATCATTTTACCGAAGGCAACCGAAGTGAGAGTATACCCTAGGAGTGCGCATGTGTGAGTATTTTGATTTCAAGTTATTATCTTTGCACATTTAGGGTTTGCTAACCATTTTAAAATTTACATACAGTCTTGTCATGCAATCCTATTATCATACATCTAACAGTTAATATTTGCGAGAATTAAAATGCGAGAAATAAAACTACGCTATTACAAGGCTTCGGGGATTAATTACATAGCCAAAAAACCCGTAAAACGATAAATAAACAAAAAAAGATCCTAATTAATCTATTACATCCCGTGAGCAATTACATCAATATTGTAAAAATAAGTAAACATGCGCGACGAATCAAGGATGAGCAAAATTAGGGTTTTGACCCCGTCTAACCCTAATGAAAAGAAAAATTATTTTTGGGTTGTTTTTGATTATTTTTAAGAAAAGTAAGGTTTTAAATTAAATACAAGCAAACCTAATTACTAATTAATTTAAATCAAGAAAATTAATTATTTTTTTGACCTATTTTATGTTTTGGTTATTTTTAAGAAAAGAAAATAGAAATTAAATTAAACAAAAAAACCTAGTTTCTAATTTATTTTAATTTATTTACAAAGACAAATTAAAGTTATCCTAAAATTAAATAAACTAATTAAATTAATTTTTGATAAAAAATAAAACCTAAATCTAATTTGGTGAAAATTGATTTTATGATTTTTTTATAAAAAAAGGAATTAATTTGTGTTAGCAAAATAATTTAAATAAAGAAAATATAAAAAGAAAAAGAAAAGTAAAATGGGCTGGTAAACAGCAGTTTGGGGGGGGGGGGGTGCTATTAGCAGCTTTTACGTTTGACTTCCATGATCCAGCGCTGCACTTTAACTAGGGACTTTGGTAGACCCTCAGATGATGACCTTTGGATCCAGCGCGTGGACATCTGGCTGGCTAAGCATTGAAGGCGTATGATGGATGCTCTGGGAACCTGCACATGGAATCATACCTAGAAAAAATATATTGAAGAAACGAGGGGACCTGGGAATCGAATCCAGGTCCTATGGCCTTTTCGCTTGTCTCAATACCAACTGAGCTGGCACGCTTGTTGTACATAGAGAAACAAATAAATAATATATTAAAAAACACAACTTGTTAATTTCCTGCGCGCGAAATTTCAAATACGCAAGTAGGGTGGTGCCACGCAGGTCTTCTTCTTCCTCTCTCCGTTAGTAAAAGTTATGGACTTTTACCTACAGACAAAGGTCCGTAGCTATAAACCCTGCACATTTCAAAATCTCACACAGACACGATAAATGAAATCTAATGATGTAGATCAACTCGCCTTGACCTTGTGAACATCATGGCACCTTTCTTGTGGACCAATTTTGCTTGTACAAAAAGATCCATAAACGCAACAAGAAACCCTCGCGTTTCTGGGCACAAAAATGCTTGCTTTTGATTGGTATAGGCTCCTTGCACTCCCAGGAAGCGAATGAGATGGCTTGGGAGTTTTGAAAATGCTTGGAAGTATGAAATCAGATCACCACTTTTCTTGAGTTTTTCCAAGTTAGTTCTTCTCTCTACACGCCTCAAAACCCTGTCTTTTTGGTCTGCATTTGTCCAATATATATCAGTGATTGAATTAGGTTTGCAAATGTGCTTTCAATCTTTGTCAATTATGATCTTTGATCATGATTTGATTTTCACGAAAATCTTTCCAAAACAAGCCAAAACCAATATTTTTATGCACAACCATGCCTTGCACGATCTGATTCCCTTGCTATCTGTATAAGAGACCTGAAATATGCACAAAATCTTAAGGTTTGAATGATTTGGATATTTCCATGATTTATTTTGATTTATTTTGATTTAATTGAAATAAAAATCAAAATAAATGGTAAAAATAAAATAAAGGCAAGTAGGAAGAGTTAGGGCTCGTGGACAATGTTGCAAACTCAAAACAAGTGCAAAAAGTTATGGCCATTTGACAAAAATTACAATTTGAGGCACTTTTGACTTTTGGCAATTTTGCAAAAAAGGTCAACTTCACCAATGCATAACTTCTTTAATTTTGACTCTATGAATGTGTTCTTGGACTTTTTAGAAAGCTTGAGATGTCCTCTAAGCAACCCTTTTGGTCTCATCTCAGTTGAGTCTTCCATGTTCATGTATGAAGCTTTGACAAAAAAGGTGTTTTTGTTGACTTTTCAAAATGACCTATAATGTCCAAATCCATAACTTATTGTGAGTGCATATTTGAACTTTGGAGATGAAGATGAATTGTAGGGCATTGCATCCTCTTAAAAATGAGCTTTGGATGGGTCATTTATCATAAAGTATGAGAAAGTTATGCTTGGTCAAAGTTGAGTTGACTTTTCCTACAAAACCCTAATTTAGCAACTTTTGGGTTTTGATGAATTGTGAGCAATCCTTGATGAATCATGATCAACCATTGATCAAATGATGAATAATAATTCACAATGAGTATGTTGACCAAAAATCTTGAGGTTTGACTGTATGTGGGCCACAGTTGACTTTTGCCCTAGCACAATCGATTTTTAGGCCTTTGAGCAATTGACTGAGCAAAATTTCTTTGTAGGGCTTGAAACTTGATATGGATGATATTGAGAAAATATTAGGACAATGGTGAGAATTTGGGATCCCTTGGACTCAAGTATCTTGATGCAACATGAAACCTTAATTTGAGGTAGATTGGTTTTGGGGAGGGTTTGTCTGGTTAACCCTTGGACTTCCTTGAGCAACTTTGAGGAACTCTCTTGAAATGTATTGAGAAATATGGGAGGGCAAATTTTGGGGTACAACAGCTGCCCCTGTTCAATCTTCTTAAACTTGAGGATGTAGATTGGCTTGTCTGCCTTTCGTGATCCGAGGGTGGAAGATGATTGAACACTAGAGTGCCCAAAAATTTGCACTCACATGAAGTGGTACTTGTCTTGTGATGTCGGTAATGGGCTTATAGATGCCATTTGGAGATTGATGACGGAAGATGGGCTTAAAGATGCCATCCGAAGGAGTGTCGATCGCATAAGAGATTCCTTAGCGAGAGCTTGTATACCTGTTGTTAAGGAGGATTCCGCTGGGGAATGCTGGTCTCCGTCTTGAGGAAAAGTTGAATTTTAGGAGCTTCGGTCGTCCGTTATTCTACTGGGGGAATCGTTTCTTGGTCGAAGAGGTAAAATGAACTACTATTTGGTCGTGATCCAGGCTTCATAGTGATAAGATCGACTGCTATCTGGTCGTGCTCCAGGCTTTACAATGACTTACTGGGGAGATGAGATTAAACTTGTTATCCGGTTGTAATCCAGGCTTTGCAATTTCTCAATTCTTATCTGGTCGTAATCCAGGCTTTAGAAGGAATTAAGTTGTTATTCGGTCGCATCCGGGCTTTAACTTGAATTTAGGGCATACTAATATCCGGTCGACTCCGGGCTTCTTAGTAGTTGTCCAGGTAAACTACTATTTGGTCGAAATCCGAGCTTCGTAGTGTCTCGTACTGTTATCTGGTCGTAATCCAGGCTTCACGATGTTTCATACCATTATCTGGTCGAATCCATGAAGAAGTGAAAAACACAAGAAGGGGGGTTGAATTGTAAAACTGAAAATCAATGCAATGAACACGATATTTTTATCCTGGTTCGTTTGATCTCAAACTACTCCAGTCCACCCGTCAAGGTGATTTCGCCTCTCTCCAACGAGGTCTTAATCCACTATATTCAACTGAATATTACAATCTGCTTTAACAACTGCTAAAGCCTTCTTGATGCAAACCACAAACCAGTTTCTCAAGGAATCACTTTCTTACAAAGAATTGAAATCTAGGTGTGTGAATGTTTTCTACAAAACTGTTTATCACAACTGTGATACTACACAAATTAAGCTTAAGAGAAACTAGATTGCTAAAATAATTGAGTAAGGAATTTTGGAGCTTTTAGCAAACTGAGAGTGAGGAAGATGATGAATAGCTTTTAGGCGTGTAGATTGATGTAGAGCATTAGCCAACTCAATCTTCATTAACTTGTTTATATAGCATTGGAATTTGTGAACGTTGGAGAATAATTCTGTTTCAATGCCATTAACAAACTTTCCTTATTAAGCAGATCTTGTCTGGAATGATGCTGTTGGTAATAACTCATCTTGAATGCACAGTACCGTTTCCACTTAAGCGTGTTCTGGCTTTGGCTCATTTTGACGCTGCTTAAGTGCTGATGAACTGTTATTGTCTTTATTAGAGATCAGAGTGTTTAGCGCAGTTCTGTTCATCAAGCTTCAGCATAAGCGTGAGTTGTTCTTCTGATTC